CACACACACACACACACACACACACACACGCACACACACACACACACGCACACACACACACACGCACACACCATCGTGACGCTCCTTCCTGCCCGTCCTGCAATCTCCACCTGCGCCCCTCTCCTCATCACACAACCCCAGCACGTCATCGCAAAAAACCGCCAACCTGCGGGTGCCCGCACTCCTCCAAGAGCCTCGCCACCCTGTCAGCCAGCCGCCCGCCCCCCTCCCTCGTCAGCGCCGCGCCGCCCTCCTCCCCGCAGCCTGCCAGCGCCGCCAGCGCCATCGCGCCGGCCAGCTGCACCTCCCCCATCTGCGACCCCAGCAGCCGCGCGAGCGCCGGCACGAGCCCCGGCGCGGCGCCGAGCGCGGCGCCGCCGCCGGGGCACGCGGCGAGGTGCGCGAGGGCGCCGGCCGCCTGGGCGCCAACCACAATTTGCAGCTCCCCCTCAACCCCGACACGCGCCATGGCAGACTGCCGCAGCGCGTCCAACGCATCCCTCGCGCCGCCTTCACCGCCGCCACCCGCTTCCCTCCCACCGCCGTCGCCGGGCGGCTCTGCCGCCTGCTGCTGCTGCTGGTGCTGCTGCGGCGGCGGCAAAGCGCCCGGGGCTCCCGTGTGCGGCCCTGGGCTGGGGCCCTTGCCGCCGCTTGCGCTCGGCTTAGTGCCAACGCCGCCCGCGCGCGCTGCCATCGGCGCGAGCGCGGGCCCCATAGGATGCCCGATCCCCCGGCCACGCCCGCCCGCGGGCGGCGTGCCCGGCTGCCGCGGCGGCTCCTGCTGCTTAGCCCCGCCACCGCCGCCGTTGCCGCCGCCGCCGATCCCGCCGGCGCCGCCCTTGCGCTGCGGCTGAAGTGCGTAAGCTGTCGCGTCGACGAGCGCGCCGACGACACCGCCATCGGCGCCGAGCACCGCCGGCAGCAGCTGCGCCGGCAGCAGCTGCTGCACTGCCAGCTGGCCGAGCGTGAGCGCTGCGAGCAGGCGCGCCGGCGAGTAGCGCGCCTTGCTGCCGCAGCCGCGGCCAGACAGCGATGACGTCAGCATCAGAAGCACCCGCGGCAGCGCCGGGTCCTCCGCCGCTGCCGCCGCCCACGCCGCGCCGCCGCGCGGGTGCGTCGTGAGGACCCAGAGCAGGCAGGCCGCCTGGCCGGCGGCTGCGTCGGCGGCCGCGGTGCCGACGAGCGGCGCCGCGCCGGGCATGCTGGGGAGCAGCAGCAGCTTTGCCATCCAGCCGAGCAGCTGCGCCCTAGCTTCCGCCAGGCAGTCGTCCAGGCCGTTCACCGCAGCCAATGAGATGAGCCCCGCGGCGGCTGCAGAGACGTCAAGCGCCGAAGACGCCAGCAAAACTGCCTCCGCGCCGCCGCGAGCGGCGCCGACTTTCCCGTCCCCATCGCCGCTTGTTGCAAACCCTGGGGCTGCGATACCGACCGCCGCATCAACCCAGCCCAGCAGCGCCGCGGCGTGCGCCACCACCGACTGCATGACTGCCGACCCCGCCAACCCCACCATTGCGGCCGGCGCCAGCTTGGCGCCGCCCGCGCCGCCGCCGCTGCCGCCGCCGCATGTGCCGCGCAGCCCGGCGGCGAGGCGGTCGGGGCACCGGCTCAAAAGCGACTGCCAGCAGCTCAGCGCGGCCACAGCCGCCATTGCCTCCAGGGCAGCGCCCGTCACCTTCCCCGGGTCTTGACCCGCGCCGTCGCCGCGGTCGTCACCGCCGACGTCGCCGTCGTCGTCGCACCCCACGCCGTCCGTGGCTGCCGCAGCCGCTTCATCGCTCATTAGCGGCTCGGCGCCCGTGCCCACGCCCATGTCCTCCGCGCCCGCGCCCTCGCCGGCCCCGCCGCGCCGCCGCGCGCTCGGCGGCGCGCTCTGCGCCCGCGACGCCGCTAGCGCCGGCGGCACGGGCACAGAAAGCACCGCCCCCGCGAGCGCGCCCACCGCTTCGCCGCTCCCCGCGAGCGCGCGCGCAAGCACCGGGTGCGCCGCGGCGTTCGCGGCCCACACCAGCACGCACGCACGCAGCGGCGCCGCAGCCTCAGCGGCCGGGCCAGGGTCGGCAACCGCCGCCGCGGCGATTAGCTGCTGTTTTAGGGCGGGCAGGAGCGTCGCCTGCTCCAGTATCATCGCCTCGACGCCCACCCGGGAAGACGACAGGTTCGCCAGCGCCGACGCCGCGCCTGCGCGCATGTGTGTGCGCGTGCAGCGAGCCCTTTGGTGCGCCGGCGCCGTCAGGGGCGCGCCCCTTTCCGGTTGCTTCAAGGCCGGGGGTGTGCAGCGGCTGGTGGCAAGCGCACCGCGGGAGAATGGCTGCGCTGATGCTGCTGGCTGCGTCAGCCTGCTTGGGCCCGAATAGCCTACGCTATAGGTGTTGGGGGCAGGCCAACAGGCATGAGAGGTGATCCAAGATGCTCAATCACTCACACATCTGCAGGTGGCCCGCCGCAGCCGCAACCTCCGCCATCCCCGCGGCCGCCGCCCCGCCCGCGCACGCGCCATCCCCCGGGGCCTCCGGCGCCCGGCGCCCGAGCGCCGCGGCCGACGGCGGCCGCCGGGCTTGGGACAGCAGAGCGGGAAGCTGCTGCTGGGGGTAGAGAAGCTTCAAAAGCAGAGGGACAGTGGCCGGGTCTCCAGCAAGCTCGAGCCGCCCCGCATCGCACGCCGCAAGGTTGCGGATGGCGCCTGCGGCAGTGGCATCAAGGTCAGCACGCGGCCTATCATGATGAGCGCGTGCCGGGCATTGCCAGCTGGATCAAGAACCCGCGGTTGCTGTCTATTTCCAGACCTGAAACCGGATCCCCTGAAAATACACCCATGCACAGCGCCGGCCCTGCGAGGCCGTGCAATGCAGCTCGGCTGCATGGCTGGACCGCAAGGCTAGCGGCTGCGAAACCCTCAGACCCACCAAGGGCCGCGGCCATCGCTTGGACGTCCCTCGCCTCCCTGGCGGCCCTCACGACCTCCCGCCCCAGCCCCCGCGCGCCGGCGATTACAGCCTGGCTCGCCCTGTGCGCCGCCAGGTTGCCCACCACCGCCGCCGCCGCGCCGGCCAGCGCCGCGTCCCCGCCGCAGCGCAGCGCGGCGGCGAGCGCCGCCGGCAGGCCGCGCGTGCTGGCGAGGCGGGCGGCGACGGGGGCCGAGGTGGAGAGGGCGGCGGCGGCGGAGAGTGACCAGAAGAGCGCAGTGTGGTGGGCCTCAAAAAGCAGGGGCTCCAGGGGCTCAGTGCTGCTCGACGGCGGCGCCGCCTGGACGGCCCTGAATGGTCAACATACGCGGGTCGGCGGCGGGCGTGTCGTGAGGGAGGAAACAGCACGGCCAATCGCGACCTGATACCAAAATCTTGACCTAACGTCAGGATCTTGACCTGAAGTCAATATCTCGATCTGACGTCAATGGATCAACCTGATGTCAAGGCAGACGGTGTTGCAGGGCACGTGGCGAAGGATTCGGATCCATGTGACGGCACCCCGCACGGCACACCTCAAAGCATCCGCCGAGTTGAGCGCCACCTCAACCAGGCCGCCGCACATCCCGTCCAGCGACCCGACCGCCGCGCGCCGCGCCTCGCCGCAGTGCTGCGCCACGGCCGCCAGCGCGCCCACCGCGTGCAGGCTGACTGCCACGTCCGGCCCCGAGGCAGGGCCGCCGCCGCCACCGCCTGCTGCCGCGCCCGCCGCGAGCGGGGCGCCGGCGGCAGGCGGCGAGCCGGGGGGCGGGGGCGCGTGCCAGGCCCCTTGCGGCACGGCGCCGGGGGCGGGAAGGGCGGCCGAGCGCGCGGTGGCTAAGAGCGCTTTGAGCAGGGACGCGGGGGGCTCTCCAAGGGCGTCGGCGCCGCCGGGGACGCACGCGAGGGCCCAGATTGCCTGGGGTGGCGGATGGAAGGATGGGAGTCGGTGGCCGCAGGGCGACAGTGAGCATGGCATGAGCCTCGCAGGGGTGTCGGAACGAGCGGCGTGCCCCGGCCTGCTGTAACCCTCTGGCTGGCCGGCCCCAGAAGCAAGAGCGTGCAGCGGCCTGCCCTTTGCCGTCGCAGCCGGCCAGTCATCGGTGCCGCCGCCCACCTGGATGGCCACCCCTCGCTTGAAGGACTCCTGCTCTGCCAGCAGCGCCTCCAAGCCCCTCTTCACGCCCTCGAGCCTCGGCAGCCGCAGGGCCCCGCTCGCCGCAGCCGTTCCAAGCGCGGCCGCGGGCCGCAGGGGTGCCGTCGCAGCGAAGACGGGCAGGCCGTCAGCACGGCTCGCCATGGCCTCACAGCAAAGGGCGATGAGCTCGACCGCCGACAGCCGAAAGTCGGCAGCATACACCGCCAGCTGCCCGGCAGCTTCGCGCCACCCCGCCGCGCCCTGCTGCCGAGCCTTCGCCGTCGATCGGAGCGAGCGCTCCTGCTGGGCTGGCTGCTGGTGGTGGGGCTGCTGCCCGCCGTCAATGCTCGCCCCGCCGACGGCGCTCTCGTAGCTGATAGCAGCCGCGCGCCTCTCGCACTCCAGTGAGTCCCCACACGGCCCCGCCGCCGCCCCTGCGGCCGTAAGCTTGTGGATCGTGCCCGTGCCGCCGCCGCGCGCGGCGGCGGCTGCAGCTGCAGCCATGCGGGTGGCGTGCAGCATGGCCTGTATCTGGGAGTTTGTGTCATCCTCCAACACCAGGTCAAAATGCCGCAGCAGCCGCGCCAGACGGGGCTCTCCCGCTTGCTGGGAAGATTCCTCGTTGCCGCCGCACCCGGGTGGGCGCGCTAAGGCTGGGGCCCTGGCCAGCAGCACCTGCCGCGGCAGCAGCCGCTGCTGCGCCAGGCCCAGCAGGCAGTCCAGCGCGACCGCCGCGCCCTGCGCCGCGGCCGCCAGCCGCCGCTGGCGCTCCTCGGACGCGCGGCCCGCCGCCGCGGCCGTCGCGGCCGCGACCGCCTCGGCGTCGTTGCCGTCCGAGGTTCCGAGGGACCCAGGGCTGTTGACGGCCCTCAGGGGTGCTTCCAAGTCCAGCATTGATATAAGGCTGTCGACAAGCTGTAAAGAGGGGGGTCAACAAGATCGAGAATATCCGTCGTTGTGGGTTTGGTAGACGTGTGGCGGGCCGACCGGTGCTGTGAACGGGTCCCAGCAGACCTGACCACAACGCTGCAAGGCTCAAGGCAGGGGTGGGGCTGCCAGGGTGCAAACAGCATACTCGGACGCAGCTCAGGGCGCCGGCGTGGGGGCAGGAACCCAAGCGCGCCAGGCTCACCGCCGGCTGCAGCTCCAGCGCGGCCAGGGCAGCCTCTCTGCCGGCGCTGAAGAGGGTGTGGACCACACAGGAGGCTGCGTGGCGGACGGCCGGCGCAGGCGGCGCGTGGGCGCCGTCCGCGGCGATCGCGGCGCCATCCTCACCCATGCCACCGATCGCCATCCGCAGCACCAGCTCTACCCGGCCCGGCCCCTGCCCGCCGACCCCTGCCGCCGCCGCCGCCGCCGCCGCCGCCGCCGCCGCCGCCGCCGCCGCCACTGCGTGGCCCTCTGAGCTGTCGCGACCCGGGGCAGGCCACTCTGCAATGTTGTCCAGCGAATGGTGCGGCGCTGCGCCGCCGCCATTTGTGCCGTGATCCCGCTGCCTGGCCGGCCGCGCGGGTGCACCCCACAGGGTGCCCTTGCCCAGCTGAGTCATGATGATGGAGGCCATGGAAGCGGTGCTGCTCTCCGGCGAGAGCGGCGGCTGCTGCTGCTGGTGGTGCAGCTGCTGCTGTTGCCCCTGCGGCTGCTGCTGTTGGCTGTCGGCCCCTGCCACGCCGGGCGACAGGGCGGCCGGCGCCTTGCCGGGCGGCAGCCCCGTCACCTGCGCCCAAAGGGATGCCAACGCCGACAGCACTGCAAATACTGCTAATTGAACCCTCTCCGACGTCCCTGCTTGTATTTCAGCTTGACCGCCCCCCCCTTGCGCTGTTGGCCCGACTCGTGCTGAGCGGTTACCAACAGTCTGTCGCACGAGACCCGTGCGCTCCTGCTGCAACGGATCGTTGGCTGCTGCGCTGGCAGCTTCCAGGCAGCTGCTCAGCACCTCAAGCGCCGCGGCGCTACCATGGTCCAGTGCGCTGCACGCGTCAATGCTGACAGCGCAGACTGCTGCCAAGGCGTGGACACACGCCAGCAGAGCCACCAGAGCTGTCGCGCACTGCTCAGAAGCCGCGGCCCGCTCGCCTCCCTCGCTCACGGGCATCAGGTGCGCCACGCGCTGCTGCAGGCCGTTCGCCTTTGTTGGTGTGGACACTTGAAGCGACGCCATCCGCTCAAGGCCAGGGCCAGCCGCCGAGCCCTGCCGCGCCAGAACCGCCAGCCGGGCGGCGCAGGCTAAGAGTGTCTCGGCGGGGCTTACGTTGCCGCTCGTGCCGTCGAAGCCGCTGCCACGACTGATTTGCGAGGCGCCGGCCCCACCAGCGGCGAGTAATGCCAGGCAGCGGTCCCCTGAAACCAAGCCCTCCAAAACGCTGAGGGCCGCGTGCCATGAGGTCAGCCACCGCTCAGCGCTGCCGCTGGTTCCGTCAGCCGCAGCCGCCGCCCGCATAGGACCCGCAGCCGGCGCCTGGCTGTCCAGCGCAGGGGTTTCCAACACTGATAACAGCGCGTGCAACAGCTGCTGCGCCGCCGGCGACCGCGCCACCGCGGCGCCGAACGCAGCGTGGGCCGCCAGCGCCAACACCAGGCGCAGCTGCGGTGGGCACGCAGACAGCTTGTCAGCTGCTGCCCCCGGCCCCGGGTCGCCGCTGACCCTGCTCGTAGCCCCTGTGGTCATCCTGCCCAACTGCCACTGCATCGCCGCACCCCCTACCCGCTGCGACAGCGGCAGCAGCATTGCCGCCAGCGCCGGCACGAGCTGCTGCTGCGCCAGCACGGACTGTGCCACTGCCGTGGGCCCAAGGCCGCAGACCAATGCCAGCAGGAGCTCAGCCACTTCTCCTAACTCGCCCGCTGCTGCATCGTCGCTGACTGTGCTACTGCGGGCGCCGCCAGGGCTGCCGGCAGCGGCGGCAGCGTTGGCGTCACGGGCCGCTGCCATGGACAGGAGCAGCGGCACCAGCTGCGTGCGGCCGGCCATGATAGGTGAGAGCCCCGCGGACGTCGCCGCGCGACGCAGCAGGCTCATGCAGCCAGCGACGCCCAGGCGCCTGGCGTCCGCTGCGCTGCAGCCGTGCTTTTGGTCGCTGTCGCATCTTTGCCTTTCGCCGCCGCCACTGCTGTCAAGCCTGGTGGTCGCTGCTAGTCTGTCCAAGAGCCCAATAATCTGGCCAAGGGCCCCTCTTGCCTGCATGATGGCCTGTGTGCGCAGGCCCGGGGTGTCAAAGCAAAACCATTGTGGCAAGATGATTTGCAGTCATGCCAGGGGTTGAAGTATTGCCAGGGCAGGCAGACTGGAGCTGTGCAGCAACACAGCAACCACGCACAAGAGACGGGCCGAGCTGGTGCAGTGGCTGCCCAAAGCATCCCACCGTGATGTCACCTGCGGGAATGCGTCCGCCGCGGCTGTGCTGCCATTGAGAACAACGCTCAGCGCGAACGCGCGCCAGCAAGCAGTGTGTATTGCGCCGGGGCCGCGCTCTGCCGTTCCTGCGGAATGCTCATGCAGCTGCTGCTGCTGCTGCTGCTGCTGCTGCTGCTGCTGCTGCTGCTGCTGCTGCTGCTGCTGCTGCTGCGGCGGCGGCGGCTGCTGCTGCGGCGGCTGGTGCTGCGGCTGCTGCTGCTGCTGCTGCGGCATCGGCTGCACAGCAGCTGTAATGAGTTGCGACAGCTGATCCAGCAATGCAGGCACTTGCTGCGCCGCTGCTGCCATAGCAGGCGCGATCCCCGCGTGCGCCGCTCCCCTGTGGTGCTGTGCAATGCAGGCCACCGTTGCTGCTGCGGCAGAGCTCGCCAGAGCCGCGGCTGGCCCTTCGGGTGGCTTGGGTACCACCAGCTGGGTGCTGATGTGGACCATGAGACCAGTCCTGTGGGCAGGACAGGCAGCAATGACTCTGGTAAGAGCAAGGGGCCCACATGGATAACAGTTGACCTTGGACGTGATGAAATATTGGTTGGGGCTAGTAGCAACTGCCATCCGTCGATCATGCAGCTTCTCTGGAACTAAATGTGTTCTGCTCACTTTTCATTGGCTGACAGGAGTAGCACAGCCCTGTCTTCACTGTCCGCAAGCGCCCTCACAGCCGCGAGCGCCGCTTGCCCGGTGCTTGCGTTGTGGTTGGTGTCCTCATTGCTCAAGCTCGCGGCCGCTCCCGGCGCCCGTGCTTCGACTGGCAGCGCGAGGCACCCAAGCAGCCGCGCAAGCACTGCGTTGGCCGCCAGGAGTTGTTTTGCCTCCCCGCTGCTCGCCGCCATGTAGCAGCACAGGCGCTCGGCCAGGTCCGCCCTGTCTGCCGGGGTGAGGTCTGGTGCGCTGAAGAGCCGCTGCACGCCGTGCGCGCACATGTCTGCCAGCGCAGACATCGCGCTGGCGTCCAGCAGGGGTACAACCGCTAGCTGCTGCTGCTGCTGCTGCTGCTGCTGCTGCTGCTGCTGCTGCTGCTGCTGCTTTGTTTTGCCAGCCAGCTGCGGCATGCTCAGGCCTGGCAGCACCAAGGAGAGCAGCTGCCCTGCCTGCCACAAAATGCTGAGAGGGCTCGACAGTGCCTTCCCTTCAGCGCCCCCATTAATGATCAGCGCCGCCATGCCAGCGCCGTGTGCGCGCCAGATGGCGTCCCAGCCGCCATCGGCTCCGGCACCCTGGAAGCCTTGATTGCTGCCGCTGCGGTCTGCGAGGGCATGCAGGAGCGGCATGAGGAGCTCCATCCTGCCTGCCGGCCAGGGCGCCCCCGCGGGCGCCGCGCGCCCCATGCAGAACAGCGCCGCGCACGCCGTGGCGGCGAGCGGCCCCCGCGCCGCGGGTGCGGCCGCCGCAGCGG